GAGCCAAGAAAGATAGTTGTTTGTTGATTCTCAGCACAAATCCATAATTAGTAACAGTAAGAAAACACCAAAAAGTATAATTTATTCCCCTTAATTCTGTGCATTGTGCTGTACAATTACAGCCAACCCAGGATTTAGCCTTAATGTGCTACGTGATCCCCGTCTTGTGTGTAACACAAAGCGTTGCATGAGTGATATCGGCACGGACGGACTTGTCTGTGATAGTTGCCAACTTTCTCACCACTGCCGCTATCGTCTTACTGCTCAGCTCAGCCTTTCTTTGATCATCTCATGGAGTTTCTCAGTAGTTGTAATACCATCAGTCAGTGCCAAAGCATGACCTGCCAGTGACACATTAATCCATGTTTGGTTGCATTCAAAGAATCATTCTAGGCTTTGGTTTGGCTTCTTTTTCACAAGCCGATTTGGGTTATGTTACCAATTCATCGCTTTTATTTTTGTTCTTGAAAATCCAACATCCTGATGACAGCAGTATGGTGAGGTCAGTATTGCATATTGACCTTCAGCCACAGTGGTACCTATTGATCTGGCTGTGATGACACAATGACTATAATTTCCCAACTCCAAAAACTGGTAGTAACTCATTTATCACCCAGACTTGGCTGGTGGAACAGTATATGTATAGTATGACACTTTTCATTGATTCCCACCCGTTTATGTAAGAGTCCTCTGGCATGTGACGGCAGCCAGTGAATTGGTACCCGCTGGGCTCTGAACACAGGCTTCCCGCCGGGTTTGATCTCTCAGTCGTGCACTAGTTTTATTTTTGTTTTAGGCGGCAATTAGCAAACATGAGAACGTGCTCTGTGGGGCCGGCCAACGCGGTGCAGGACAGTTTTTAAAAGAGCCTCCGTCTGTGGCTTTGAACCCCATCCAGAAAGGAAAAGTTTGTGGGACGTAGTCAACTGATCAAAGAGCAGAGAGACCTTTGCTTGATTGTGCAGTGTTCTCTGTCTTGTCTTTGTTAATGTGGATCTTTGAATGGGTGAGACTGGGACATGGCCTGCTTAAAAGGTTGCATAAACAGTGCAAATAAGCAGTGTTGTCTCATTAAGGGCAAACACTAATCATAGTGTGACAAACTCTCACATACATTAAAGTTCACTGGAAGACAGACAGTATGTTACTTGTTGTTGTTTATGTAGTTGATAAAGTTTCTGCTCCAGCACTTGATGAGCTGTTGGTCTTAAAGGTCCAGTGTGTAGGATTTACTTGAATCTAGCGGTGAGATTGCAGATTGCAAACAGCTCAAAACCTCTTTAACCAAGCATGAAGGAGGCAGTGTTTGCTTTGTCTGTTCTGGGCTACTGTAGAAACATGGCAGTTCAACGTGATGGACTCCTCCACCTCCGTTATGTCAGCTAGTTTTTAATAGTTATTAGTTTTTAGTTTTCAGTATACCGCCTTTTCTGCCCAAGTGGACTAGCTTCACGGCTAATTAAATTAACAGAGGTACCTCTTTTCAATGTCTGCATCCAGGTCCCCCTCACAAAAAGGGCTCATTCTAAGGTAACGAAAACACAACAGTTCCTATCTGACTGAGTCAGTTACCTTCAAGCTACAACACGTATAGACACCACAAAAGATTTACATAACCAAATTACAGTGACACCATAGGTTTGTAGCTAAGCTAACAAGGATGGTAACGTTAGCACAGACTTTTTAGGTCTATGTGGCTATAAAACCCTTCGCAAATGTCCCAACAGGATATAGAGCCAACCGCGACACAGTAAGTAGTGTAACTAACGTTAGCTAGGTTGTG